CGGGTCGCGCTGTTCCCTTGCAGGTGTACACCATCAACCTGGAGTCGCGCTACCTGCTGGTGCAGGGCGTCCCCGCGCTGGGCGTCATGAGGGAGCTGGTGGAGCAGTTCGCGCTCTACGGTGCCGTCGAGGAGTATCACGCTCTAGACGAATACCCGGCGGAGCCGTTCACTGAAGTTTACCTCATAAAACTCCAGAAGCTGCATTGTGCAAGGTACTGTGGGGCAACGTCTGCCTTTCGCTACCCTTTACAACGTAATCATTTGCAATCTGTTACAGTTCTGCAGATTTCAAGAGACAGCCTGGCTTTTGCTGATGCAATTTAATTTCTTTCAGGGTGGCCAAGAAGAAAATGGATGAACGGAGCTTCTTTGGTAGTTTGCTCCATGTGTGCTACGCTCCAGAGTTTGAAACAGTCCAAGAAACTCGGGAGAAGCTGCAGGATAGAAGGAAGTATATAGCAAAAGCAACAAACCAAAGAGGTTTGTAGCCAATTTCCTATGGATCTGTGGTGGGTGGGCTAGAAGTGCCATCAATAAAAGCAAATACTTTCTGTTCAGCTGTTCTAAAAAGGCATTTTCAATATGCCAGCAGCAGAACAGAGGCGTCTTTCAGTATTTAGAGGGCTCTATATTTCTGATGCATTTTTTAGTCTTTGATTGATACAAAAATAAGAATGCACAAGAAGCAATGCATACGGCATTGTTTAATTCCCTTTCCATTCCCTGCTCCATGTGTTATCACAAATTCCCAACACTGGCCAGGAAAATTTGAGGTCGTCTTTTCATCCTTGTTCCAGCTTATGCAAGCAGACCAAAAAGGAAAAAAAAAAAGTATTTTAAGGTGACCACACCATAAACTTTTAACAAAAAAACTTCTCCAGCCTCTGCATTTGGCGCTGAGGGAAGCTGAAAGTGGGCTGGGTTTGCAGCACAGGCAGAGGGGCTGCAACGCTGAGAGTTCCCAGGCAGCACTTAAGCAGGGGCAAGTTAAGATACATGCAAACTGCAGAGAACAGGCTTCTGGTGCTTTTATACTGCAATATAATTGTAGCTGACCATAGTTAAAGGGTGTTAAAATCACTATTTTTAGGATCAGAATATTGGATTTCTTACGTTTCAAAATATGGGCTGTGTCTCTTGAAATCATAACTGGAGCTAAAAATTGGAACTACTCTCACCTTATTTTCAAAACTGCTGAAATGTTGCTGCTCAGGCTTTCCTCATAAACAAGTAGAGTCTAGGTTGAAAACTTCAGTTTTGAAATGTAGGGGGAAAAAAGAATCACTGAAAGGTAACTGGGAATCGTTGGTGTTGCTTCTAAAATTGCTGTGTATTAAGCTGTTTTTCTTATACGGTAAAACTAGTAATGACACAAATAGACAAGCTGCATTTTCTTCTTTTTCAAGATCACTTTCTTGCAAAAAGAGCAGAGGGACCTAAGAGGATCATCTCAGCAAACTCCGAGTACGATGGCCAGCAGACTCCATCGGAATTCCCTGGAGCTGGTAACTGGGAGCCAGCTCCTTGCTTTCCAGATTCTCAGTTGGTCCCGCAAAACAACGGATATCCTTCTGGGAATCATAATCAGAGCCAGTTTGTGCTTCCCCGGAACACCAGTAACTGTGCTGAAACTTCTGGCTGCTTTGGTCAAACTCGGAACGTTCAAGCAGGACGTTTTCCACCCATTCCTTCAGTGCAGGACCGAACAGCTCCCCTGGACAACGGAATTGACAGGTTTCTGCCTCGTACAACTCGCCTGCAGGAGCGTAAGAGGAGGAGAGAGGAAGGTAACAGATCTGCACTCCTGGGAACATACATGGACAGCACAGAAGTCCCTATTGGTCCGCAGCTACCGGCAGTTCCCAAGGTGGATATGGATGATGATTCATTGAATACTTCAGCTGCCTTAATTCGAAATAAGCTGAAGCAGGTATGGATTCTGAAATTTGGGGTATTTTTCACTGTCAAACATCTGCATTCTGTGCTTTTTGTCTGTAAAAACAACGGTCCTAAGATAACTTCATCCAGTATTACCAGCTCACTTAGAACTTAAAAGGCAGTGCTTTGCCTATTTAACTCATCATGCTGAATGCTAACTAGCCATTTTACTCCATACCTCTTACATCATTCCCAGTTTCCAAAAGCACAAATATTAGTGCTTTAGCTTTGAAGGTATCAGGGTAGTGCTAAATGGTCCTTAGTAAATAACACTTTTTTTTCAGAGGGGGAAGCATGATAATCCTGCAGGTAGCCCTACTGATTCTAGCGTGGTCTTTGTATCTTGGATTTGATTGAAAAACAAGTCAGAGTTATGGCCTTAGAGAAGTACACCTACTGTGCTGAGAAATTTCATGGTATAAAGTCTTTTGTGGAGGATAGTAGTGAACCCATTTGCAGGTCAAACTTGTGTTTATAGTAAGATATTAAGAAGAGTCTTCTTGACTAGAATTAACTCGACTGATGTGAATGTGGAAAACCTTTGGTCAAACTGACTTTATGCTAAACTTCACTTTGGAAACCATCCATGACCATCTGTCCATCAGATAATAATAGTCCATCATCGAGTCTCTGAATTCAGTTTGTGGGGCTAAAACAGAAAATGGTATTGCTAACAGACTTGTGCTTTCTGAGGGTTTCACCTCCTTTATCTCGTGTTTAATGCTGTTTTCAGGGGTTGGTTTGTTTTGTTGGAGTTTTTTGCACCCCTCCCCCCTTTTTTACACTAAATCTCAATACTAACATAGCTGCAATGGTTCATTCCTCCCCAACCCAAATATGAGATTGGTGACCCAAACGTAACATAAAGAAGGGATAGTTGCAGTTTACTAAAAGTAGATTTTTTTTTCTCTCTGTGATCTAGGTGGCAGATTCTGTTTCAGGGACATCTGTGGAAAAGCTCCAGGATAGCACAGCCAAGCCACTTGTAAAGCAAAGAAGAAGAATATAGATACTGCTGGCAGCATCTTTCTATAATCTTCTTTAAAGAATAGTTATATATGTATATATATAATGTTTTGGAATGTTAAAAATAAGATTTTGTATTGTATTTCACAACACTTTCCTGTTAAATTTGTGTTTATTTTTTTCTCCTGGAGTGAGGAGCTACAGTACTACTGCTTACATAGCTAGAGCTTATCACAAAAGAACTGTATATAATGTTAAGCAACCTCTATTTATTCAGAAGCTTTTACAGTAAAGGAGTATTAAAGTTCAGAAAGTTTGGAGTTATTCCTGCTTTTATTGCATCAGGAAGAATCATGAAGAAAAAGAATTCTTAAAACGGTATTCCAGCACTTGGAGCTACAGGTCATGAGTTTCCTGAAAAGTTTTCTTTTCGAATGCCATACTGCTCTGTTAATAAAACAAAAAACAAAGCCCAGTAACTAAGGGGGTTAAGTTAGTCAGAAAATGCTGATAAACTGAAAGTCATAAGCAAATAGAATCCTTAAACATGAGGAGTATCTTAATTCCAGTATGATTAAATGAGTGGTGCCACTGCTGAAAGATCAGTCAAAATAGTCAAAGACACTACTTTCCAGTAAGAAAACTTAACAAATTACTAAGATTTGAACCACAAGTTTATGTAATATGTGTGCTTTAATTTACATGTCAAGAGTGGGAATATTCTTGCTGTTCAGTTGTAGGCATGGCTGGGTTTTTTTTCGTAAGGAAATCTGTTTGTTACGTTTGGGGTTGGAAAGATATGTGACACTGAACCCAATGAACAATGAAATTAGAGACCCAGGAAACAGGCAACAGTTGTGCAGGCTGTTGCAATAGAGGGCACGCAGTGTGGAAGCAGTATACAAGCTGAATGAGTGCTATGATTTACCAACCTTATTACCAAGGTAAGTCATTTCTCTGTATCTATTCCAGAATATTAATTTTGATCGGAAAACTTAAAAGATTTTCAATTGGAGAGGAAAGGAAACAACATCAAAAAAGTATTTAACTTGGGATTTCCCAAACAGCTGAAGGTCTTGCCAGTCTGCTAAGAGAAGTGTCACATTTTGTCAATGCCTGCTCTGCAGGTGACCAATAGAGGCTGCATAGTTATATATGCAGACTTTCTTGCTCTCCTCCAGCCTGCCAGGCAGGGGAGCTGGCAGCACACGGAGGGTTGGAGCAAATGTAAACTTCTGATTTTCAACAGTCTTTCAGGACACACCTGAGAACCACCACATGTGTTTCAAAATACATTTTTTTGCATCTCTCAAGGCACAATTTAACAGTGTTTAAAACTGAAATGCAGTTCAAATAGAGTCATATTTGGTGGATTTGTAAAAAGTTACTCTAAATACAGCAGAAAAACTTAATTTTTAACCAGTTTGGCTTAATACTGAGGAAATGAGCATGTCCTAAACTAGCATCTTTCATAGAAACAATTTTGCTTATCAGAGGGTTGTTTTATATCCTGTGGTAGCTGTTTTTGACAGTTTAAGGAAGAGTTTGTGCCTGTAACAGGTAGACATGAACTCAGCATATGCATATATCTCAGAGGTGGAGCAATTTAACAGTTGCAGTCAGGGGGCTGCATGTAATGACACATAATACCAAAATACCTGTGTCCCCTTAACAGTGTCAGAGAAGCTATTTGCACATTCTTTTTAACTCAAAGGTAATCTACCTTTATGTCTGGCAAACAGGGTCCAAAGGCTTCTAAGAGAAGGTTTTCATCTCTTACAGCTTTTTCAAAGTCCAGAAAAGAAAGCTTGCCATCATGATCATAGTCCTACAAAAGGGGGAAGACGATTTTGCAAAGGATGGTTACTTGAAGTAGCTGTATTTATTAAACAAACAACGACTAAGTTACATGGATTCTATTCCTGGTTAGCAAAGATTAGCAAATTGCTAAGTGATACCTTGCTTGTGTATGAGACAGTGGGCTCATCCTGTGAAGAACGAAGGGGCAAGAACTGCGGGTCAGCTTGGGTACGCAAAAGGAATGGGCTTGGGAAATGAGAAAGGGGGGTTTAAATAAAAAGATCAGGGATTGGAGAACTGATTTGAATAGAGACCTTTGAGCAATGTAGTAGGAGAAAAGATGTTTCTTGACTCTGTGGTGAAACACGGTCCCAGATAATTTTAGTGTTGAGACAAGTTTCATAGGAAAAAAACTTGAAGAATACATAAACCACAAAAATACTTTCAATTATAAAATACTTCAAAAGTTCACTTGATGATAAAGTCACTGGAAATGCCCCATAACACTGGAATGAATACAGATTATTTTTTGGAAGTGTCTGCTTTTGCTCTGACGGGGCATACGTGTGTGTATGCACACACATGCACATACGTGCCTTAAGGTTTACATAAAAGTTTGTAATACACTGACATAATTAAGTAGAGTTTTGTGTCAGGACACATGACTGGGACTCATTAGATATGGAATACATTTCTGTGTTCCTTGGAAAGTTTGTTTATCTGAAGTACTTACCCAGCTCTGTGCCTCAGAATCCTACTGTAAAGCAGTTAACTGGTTTATTTATTGCTCTAAGGTTCAATTAACAGATACTTGAAAAAGTATCAGAAGGGAAAGTTACTTACCATTTTCTTCAGTGTTATGTCCACTAAGTCCTTAATTCCCTCATCAGGATCTTCTTCTGATGGCTGTTTGAGCAGGCTATTTTTCAGCATATGAAACATTTCATCTCGTGAAATGTATCCATCACCATTCAGATCATAAACTTCAAAGCAGTCTTTTCAAAAGATAACTCAATTAAAATTTCATGCAAACCATGGTGAATTTCATTCACCATTTAAGCTGTTAGAAAATATAAATTGTGCTTTATACCAGGTTTTAGTCACATTCGCCATATATGCAAGATTTATATTTAAAATATATGTCATATTTTGTTACAGGCAATTATCTCCTATTTATCCTTCAGAGTTAATATCTATTTCTGTTTAGATATGTAATATACTAAACAATCTTCAGTTTACAGAAAATACAGTGACTTAGCTTCTTTAGGGGTAATTATTCAGATAAACAGTGGTTCTACTTTAGAAGCCTGACTTCCCAAGGATGGCATAAAGCGTTCATGGTGTAAGGACTCAGAACCTACAAAATGTGTCCAGGAAGTTCAGAAACTGGATTAGAAAAGTAAAGTGAAAAAGAAGAATGAGCTGTCCTGGCTCAGAAAGGACATGTGAAGTATCCTTTAATGCAAAGGGAAAATCTCTGCAACATAATGCTTGAACATGTTGGTAATTTCTCTTTTTTTTCTATTTATTTCTTCCTCTCTGGGAAAACAAACTGAGGACTAGATAAGATTTAAAAAAAAAAGAGAAAAAAAAAGAAAACAAAAGTTAGTTTTCAGAACACAGAGGTTTTCTCCTACCAAAAGCCACACTGAAAGAATCTGTACCTGCATACATTTTTAACACTCATCTCAGACAGCATTTCTATTGCATTGCACACCGGTATTCCTGAACACTTACATCTGCTTATTTCTGCAGATGTACATCCTGCGTAACGCACGCACTTCATAGTTTATTGCTTGTGGTTATGCTGATGTGCTGAGTTACATCCCAAAGAAAACCTCCTAGTGCTGTGATATCCCAAGCTTCCTTCCCATGCAATGCTTTATGATACATTTACATAGCGCATTAGGGAGACAGGAAACCATGCTCTAATTCCTCTTTTTCATCATATCTTATTTTTTAAAAGTCTGGACTTCTTGCAATCTTTGTCTTCCATCTTTCTGTTACTCTGGATGTTTTCATGATCGCCTTGCTAACAGATGCACTATTTTCAGTGTGCTTCCAAGCTGAGCAAGTGCTGCAACTGCTGCTGTGTCCTCAGCTTGCCAGTGACTGAATGGTGATGTGGGTCTTGCTTGCCTTGAGGAGATTGGATTATTAACCCAACACCAGCTTTGAGTTACATCCACTTATTTCTAACTTGTACATGAATATGGAAAGATACATTTTATCAAAACTATACACTGTAGAAGAAACTTCAGTGCAAAAGACAAATTTGCTTTGTCAGTGATGAATTAAGGCGGCAACTATGCTAACAGCAGTTTGCACACATTTATCTCAGAGGAGCCATTTCAGAACTCAGCTCTGTGACACTGTAACCTACAGAGGAAAACTCATGAATTACCACATACCTTATAAGTGAAGAATAAATAATTATTAAAGTGAAGTGCAGTGTAATAGCAATAGATTCAATGATCTACTTCTAAATACTGGTATGCAGAGAAGCCTTACATTTAATCTTTTCTTCTAACGTCCCCCGGAGAAAAACTGACAAGCCTTCCACCCACTCCACCACGCTGATGCAGCTATCGTTGTCTTTATCAAAGGCACGAAACACTGAGAAACATATCGGGTAAGAATTTAATCGATGCAATAAGGAACACGAAGCAGTCTTTTCTTGAAATCAGCAAAAATATGAGCACTTCTTTGTCTAAAGCTCTTTCTTTGCTTCGAAGTATGATTAAATCACAACTAAGAAGGGAAACCCACCCCTCAGTCTATTGACCTTCCACTCTGGCACTCCATAGTCCTACTGGGATAAGCCACTTGGATCTGCTGCTTTTCTGACGTACACAACTACAGCACACTGCCTTCACACTGACATAAACCAAATAACCTACATTATGGTATATTCGCATATAACAGAAGATTTTAATTACTACACTTTGTCTTAGAAAATCTTGGAGAAAAATAATCCTGCAAGTAATGCACAAAGTTTATTTGAAATAAACCAAGATAAACGACCTTCTTACTCATACCAAAATCCATTTTTTTCTCCCTCTTTTCTGTAGTAAAAATGTAACCTTGCAAATTCAGTATCAGCACAGCCTGTAAAATAGTAACTCAAATCCAAGGTATAACACATGGAAGCACCAGGTAACATCAATTACTAATGAGCATTCTAGAATGTTAATTGGTAAGCTGGCTACAGGAACATCTGTACACAGAAAGCTGAAATACTGTGCACACAGGAGCCAGACATTTCAGAACTGAAAATAACAGGTTTGCCCCTTTGCAATCATAAAACAGCCCCCTTTGTACGTAAGCATCATGGTAATCTTTAGGGATGGGTCCTTGTAACATGTTTTCTAAGAGATACTTGCCTTGGTGCATAAAATGGCATTCTTGTTTAAATACATCCCCTGTTAGAAGAAAGGAGAAAGCCAGACACTTCCTGGCATGAGACTGAAAGAGCTGGCAGGCTCATTCCTTGCAACAGCCTCCACTGGAGAGGAGCTTTTACATCAGAGGGTGTTTTGTGATTCTTCCACGGCACTTGCAAACATGTGCATTTTATGTAGCTTGGAAGACTATACACTCCAAAGTGCTAATGGTGGCCCACTCTTCTCACCTAGCTCCAAGGTCTGAGCAGAACCTGCAGGGCTGCTCCAGAAGCTCGGAACAGACCACGTTTCTGGGACTGCAAGTGTGGGACCCAGCTATGGACTGGCAGCAATGACCAGAGCTCCCTGTGGAATCACCAGGGGAAAAAAGGCAAGTGACCCCATGCTGCCCTCTTTTGTCACTCTGCCAAGGATGGCTGGGATGAAAGCAGCCACACGGGGCACCACAGCTGCCTCTCCTGCATTTCCCCCTCCTGCAGGAGTGTGAGCTACCTGACACACACAACGAGATATTACGTGTAAATAAAGGCACTTTTTAGTGAGCAGAACCTATGCCTAACTCCTCCTTTGCTGAATGGACATCGATGAGAGCTCACTGCTTCACCACAGCTTGCTCCCAAAGCTTCTGTGACAAGAGGGAGCTCTGCTGGCTCCCAAAGCTTCCCATTTTCCCTCTGGTCAACAACACACCAATTTTCACCCCTCTGTGGGCCATTTGGATACTGACTGCAAACTGTGCACTCCATCCATTCACCAACTAAACTCACACTTTAAACTGGGCAATAACCTAGAGCTAATGTAGCAACTGCCCACATGCAACCTCTGTCCTGTTCTCTCGGGTCATCCTGTCATTGATAAGGATGCAGTGTTGTTGCAGAAGAAAAGTAAAGATCAAATAAAAAGATCAAAAACAAAGGAGCCAGCATCAGATGATCTGGCAAGTCTCTGCAAGAAGTGTTTAAAGATGACTGTTGGAAAGCTGTTGTGCCTCACAAACCTTTAAACCTACAACCCTCACCTCTGTCCATAATCATGTCATCCATCATTCCGAAGGTGCAATGCAGGATGTTTCGGAACATGTTACGATCCAAGCCAGCTGCAGCAGCAAATCGATCCCTGGACTCGGTCGCCAACGTGTTGAAGAGCTTGATGAGACGCTCCACCTCCTTTCTATTAACTGCCCAGTCAAAACACAAGCAAGATGTCACATCTGCAGTCGGGAGAGGCACGTTACGGCACCAGAGCCCGGCCACGACCGACATTAGGGGCTTCTGAAGCCGCACAAGCCCGATCCCAGCCCCACTCCCGGCCCGTTCCCGGCTCACAGTCGGCACCCGGGCACCTCCCGCTCACGGTTTAATCCGCGCTGTGCCCGGAACTCGCGTGAAAAACCAGCCGAGCCGCGACCGAGTGCACACGAACACGGAAACCTGAAATGCTTTCATCAGGCTTTACCCTCCCTTCAAGTAAAAGAGAGCCAGAGGGCTCGCACTGCGTTTGTTCATGTATTGAAAATGAAGTATTTCACTGGCAATGTTAGAGAATTTTGCTGTGAACTGACAGAGCCTGTACATCTCTTAAGCAGCTACACCACTTCAGAGCGTCATAACAGGATTTGGCCAGACAAATGACACCAACAGACAGGAACAAACAGCTATATTTACACAGTTAACATTACATACCTTATGATGTGTTTGAAGACTGGGGCACTCATTTCCATTTGTATTTCCTTCTAGTGCCAGTAGTCGTGCAGAAGTGAAAGAAGTTATCACACAGAGTAGAACATTTATCACATGTTTCTTCGCTAGTTGCTTTCAACAAAACACTGCAATTTAGGAAAAAGCAACCTGCCAAATCAAACCTCTACCATTTGCCACATTTTGCCTTTATTTTAACCTCAGTGACGCAACAATCTCCGAAATCAGTAACATCAAGCTAAACTGTATAAAATATTTGATCAAAATAGAGGGACAGAAAGTCATTGCTGCAAGTCAGTGTTTGTATTTTTCTAAGAACTTACTTGTAAATTCAGCTTCACTGTAGAATGGCAATAATATTTTTTCACCCAGTTTTTAGCTATGGTTTTCAAACTAAATAAACAGTTAATTGTGGTCTTGAATTCTTGGTGATAACCTATTTGAAACATCTGTATGCAACAGACATGAGTTAGGAGTTAGCACCTGTGCAATGAAACAGAAGTGGATCATTAGTACAACCTGCAGTTCAGCACTCTGAATAGCAGAGCCGTGGTTAATGGGTAACACAGGAGGCCTAGCAATCAGTACTTCAAATGGAAGACATAATGAGAATTTCAGGTAAAATCTAAAATCCAACGGTTGCTGGTCCTTTTGTATGTGCGCTTTTAATTTATAAACTAATTTAAAAGCTTTTTTATTATTTCTGAAGGAGCTTAAAGTAAAATACTTTTATGGTTTAGGTAAACATACTGTAGCTCTCAAGTACAAAAATATAAATACAAACTGTTTAAACAGTATCTTTAATGAGATTCTGGCAGTATTTTTATATAACAAGACACATCACGTAACAGGTCTGCCACTGAACTTGCTTAGAGTAAAATCAGCTTCAATATGAAGCTGTTAGATATCAAAATCCCGCTTTTTACATGCTAAATATCTTCAGCAAGTGTGCATTTAAACACAGCAATGAACTTAACTTTAAGAATAACTAAATACATATGTGAAACTCTGCATGTGGAACATAATTCATAAAACTGGTTACAACAAATGATTAGCTGTATTTTGTTAATTTAAAAATGGTACAAAACATGCAAAACAATTCTAAAAATAAAGCAAAGAAATAAAGCAACCAGTGTTTGCCAGAAGTGTTCAATTAAACCAAAATTACATTAAACGAAACGTGTATTTAGTAGCAGAGATCTGTTTCAAAGAAGCAGAGGTAAAGTTTTTAGTTTTTGAACGTCAGTTATGCTGCAAAATGTCATTGCTTTTGCTTAATGCAGAAGCACATGCTTAGAGGCTCGGAACTGCTTATTCAGAAAAAGCCTGCTAGCAATAGTTGTGACCTCCCTAGAATCAGAGATGCCGCATGGATTAAAAATAGCAGAGATTTGCAAGGATCAAAGGCAAAGGCACCCTATTCAGTTAGCCAAAATGGTAGCATTCCCTTTCCCACAAGCATAAAGATGGTAATGGGGCAGATGCTCAATATTTCTACAAAGATAGCATTTTAAATGTCATCATTAAGTTCTCATTTTGTAAATGCCAAAAGCAGGCATCAGCTTGTAAAAGTTTATGTACTATCTTAACCTGAAAGATGAATGTGGGATTTTATTTGTCCTGATTTACAAATTAAGACTATCACTAATATGCTTTTTAAAACACTACTTTTAGTATCTAAAAAGTTGACTCTTATTTTTCCAATATTTTACATCTTAGTTGGACTACCATCTCATATTGTTTCAAACATCTAACATTGTTAACTGGAATTTTATAAAAGTTGTACCCCATATATTAAGCAGCAGGCAACAACAATGGTCTTTCCCAGCACAGTTGCACCTGGCTGGCTTCTGAAATATTAGGAATATTTCTAAAACACAGGAAAACTCATGCAGTTTGGTAAAGTTTGCCATCATTTCACAGTTTAAGTTTCCTTTAGTCATTGCACTTTTGTTGATAGTCTTGTTTTTTTCAATATTACTCTGAATCTGAATTAGAACCAGCAATCTTCTTCTTCTTCTTTTTACCATGTTTCTTATGCTTCTTTCTCTTCTTTGTTTTGTCCTAAAAAAAGAAGTTAAAACAGAGGTTATTGTACCAGACTGCTACATTCATCTAATGAAAAATGACAGCATCGAAAGAATTTTCATACAATGACATTTCAAAAGAGACTTCTGTGAAAGCCTATTGAGTTATACTAATATCAGACAGTCCATATTTCATCCAGTACTTTGTAATATCATAAACAGCTTTCAACTTTCTCCATCGTGGTCTGGCTATTTCATGCCTCTCATCATTGTAACTATTTTCTTTATTAATCTTTTACATTATTTCAGTATTTTATAGATTTCTGAGACAAGAAAGTGTTTTGATAAGCAAAGGTATCTTATATATATGGGAATTGATTGGAATGTTTACAGATTAAAAAATAAGTGCTTGTATTTACGGGGCAAAATTAAACAGCTCAAGTGCACTTGGCTAGAACTGCGAGCACTTATGCCTATTTAAAATGAAACAACATCATCTCAATTGTATATACAAATACACTTGAGTGAGGCTGTTTGGATTCGGTCCTGAAGTTACCACTCTGAACACTGTGCTATAGAAGCCAAGAGATACAACCCAGCATTCTGGCAAGCAGATTTTCAATTTGAATTCTTGAATAGGTGTTATGTAATGCAAAAAAAAAACAATCTAGGTATAAAAAATATTTGTTTTGTATGTATTATACACACATGCAGTTCTTTAGAAAGCCACTAGAAATTATGGCAAACAACTTACATGATTATGAAAAACACAAACACTTAAGTTCCAAATATATTAAATATGGAATACCACTGATATTACTATGCTTCTTTTTGCTGGGTGACTATTGTAAACTTTCTCTTTGCAGTAGCCTAATTGGACAACTAAGGTGTCCGAGTTACAAACAGTGCTGCTGGGTGCTCTCTGATAGCCATCGGAGAGGGAAACATTCAGACATCTCTGCCAGTGGGCAACTCAGATCTCAGAATGACTCTCCTCCTCACCCAAAGAAGCTCAGGTAAATGTGATGAGTCCGGGGCTCCGCAAAATCACTGCTGAA